GGTTATTAAACATTGGAATAGGCTGCCCAGGGAGGTGGTGGATTCGCCATCCCTGGAGGTGTTTAAAAAAAAAAAAAAAAAAAAAAAAAGGGGGAAGGGGAGAAGTTTTTTTTTTTTTGGATTGTGGGTTTCCTGAGGCGGTTGGGCACGGCTGGGGGCTCGGGCTCCGCTCCCCCCTTAGGTGAAGGACCAGAGCTGGTGGGGGTCCGCCGGGTCGCAGGGAACCATCGCTGGGTGTTTCCCTCGTGCCGTCAAGCACGTACCGAAGGCCGAGTTTTTAATGAGCCGATCCTGCCGAAAAATAAAGACAGCACCAGCTCAGCGATGCCGGGGAGGGGATTTCAGGATGCGACCGAGGGGAAGCGGCAGAGAGGCATCACCATGGAGGGGGGGGACGACGCCACCATCCCCTTGGGTGATTCCCAGGATGGAGACGCATCTCCTCACCTGCGTCAGGTCCCACTCCTCGCTGGCCGGCACCCGCCCGGGCTTCCCTCGGTACTGGCATTCGCCCAGTTCGGCCGAGCCCGAACCTGCCCGCAGGCACAGCTCCTTCCCGATGTTGTGCCGCAGCTCCCGCTGGCTCCTGTGCTCAAAATACTGGGACACACACACACACACACAAAGACCACAGAGACACGGCCCGAGTGGGTGAAGGTCCCCAAGGGGGGAGATGTGGGGCTGGCCCCATAGCGAGGGGGCGCGGGGGGGGGCTGCACCGGGCGGGGGTCCCGTGGGAGGCTCGACCTTGGCGATTTTGGCCTCGTCCTTCTTCTTGGCGCTTTGCAGAGCTTCCAGATGATGCCGAGCGCTGTCGTAATCCACCAGTTTACGGCCCCGTTTGGCGATGCGCTCCTGCCCGGGGGGAGCACGGTGAGCCAGGATCCGCTCCCCCCCATCCCTGTCCCCCGACATCGTGCACAGGGGGTACCTTAAAGTCCCCGAACTGAGCCAGGTAGTTCTCCATCAACCGCAGGGCTTGGTCGGCCAGCTTCGCCTCGTAGTCATCCCACAGGAGGTCATTGCTCTGCAGGGTGGAAAAAGGGGGGGGACGGGGGTATAACGCCCGGATTGCCCCCCCCAGACCTCCCCTCCGGCCGTACGATTATTTACTTATTTTATTTTTGGCAGCTCCATCCCCAGGGATGGAGCCGACGCTCTGCATCCTGCCCATCCCCAGCTCGGTTTTTCAAGTCCGCCCGGTGCGTGCCAAACGTCGGGCGCGGGGCTCCTGGAAGCTTTCAGCTCTATCGCCCGATTTAACCCAACGGCACGGCCCCGCGGATCCCCCACCCCGCAACTCGCCCCAAACCAGCTCTGCCGGATTCCAGCTCTCTCGCTGTCAGCCAGAGCCCCAACCGGCCCTGCCAGCCGGTGACGGACGCGGTGACGGATGCGGTGCTGCACCAAACCCCTCCTCCAGCACGTCGGTTTAAATGCAACCCCAAACCCAACTTTTTGGGGACTTCGCTGCCGTGGCTATTTCTAGCCAAAGACTGAGCCCAGCGGGACGCTCCGGGCACCCCGGTGCTCACCGCTCCGTAAAATGTTGGAGTCAGGTCAGGAACAAACATCTCTGGGTAGACGGTCTGGAGGTACCAGGTGAAGTTCTTGCATTGGAGCTGCTCCCTCAGCTTGCGCCGGTCTGTAATGTCACCATACGTCTTCTATCGACAAAGTCACGTGAGAAAATTAAACTAACCTCCGAAGCCGGCAAGGAAAAAAACCAAAAAAACCTCTCTCGAGCCGGGGCTCAGAGCTGAGGGTTCCTCTTGGCTTTGTCATCGTCCCTCACAGAGACCGGTGGTGGGGTCTTGCGAGACATCCCCGGCCCCCGGCAGGTACCCTCAGCCTCCGGCCGCTCACCGAGAGGGCTGAGACATTTTGGCATCACAGCACAAAGTTCCAGTGTAAAAAAAACATTTTCATTTTATTATTTTTTTTAAATTGATGTTTTTCTATTAGAAAACATCACAGCCAAATAGAAAAAATAATAATAATAACTTTTTGGCTCTATCTTTCCACCTGCATTTACTTTCCCACCTCCAGGCAGAGCCCACCTCCTCCCTCTGCTCAGGCTCTGAGCTCCCATCCCAGTAGGATCAGATCCCCCCTATTCCCAGGAGAGCCAGAAGCCCTCCGGCGTGCCCAGTACCTCTCTGGCCATCTGCGCAGCTTGCTGGTTCCTCCTGTAGAAGATCTCCTTGTATTCGTCCATCCAGACCTCGGCCAGGCGGACCTGGTTCCTGGAGATGACCTGGGTGCCTTTGGGGAAGGTGTGGGGGCTCTTGGAGCGGAAGACGTGACCCACCACGGAACAAGGGATGATCTCGACTTGACCCCCGCACTGCCAGACCTACGGGGAGGCGACGCCTGAGATGTGCCCCCCCCCCGACAAGGAGCATCCCTTGAAGAGCCCCTTTGAAGACAGCGCAGAGCCATCCTTATGCTGAAGGACATCTCCACGTTCTCCCCCCCAACAAGGAACATCCCTGGAGACCCCCTTAGAAGACGGCGCAGACCATCCTTACCCTGAAGGACATCTCCATGTTCTCCCCCCCAACAAGGAGCATCCCTTGAAGAGCCCCTTAGAAGACGGTGCAGACCATCCTTACCCTGAAGGACACCTCCATGTTCTCCCCCCCCCTGACAAGGAGCATCCCTGAAGACCCCGTTTGAAGACAGTGCAGACCCATCCTTACCCTGAAGGACATCTCCACATTCTCCTCCCCAACAAAGTGCATCCCTTGAAGACCCCCTTAGAAGATGGCGCAGACCATCCTTACCCTGAAGGACATCTCCATGTTCTCCCCGCCCCAGATCTCCATCTGATCGTCGTAGGAGCCGATGTGCTCGAAGTAGGACCGGGAGATGGCAAAGAGACCACCGGCGAAGGTTGGGGACCTACGGGGGAGGGAGAAGGGGAGAAAAATAGGGTTCAAATCAAAATAGAAAAGCAGGAGTCTGAGTTTTGGGGATATCGTGGCCCTCCCGGTGGGTGTGAGCACTCTGCAGCTGCATCCCCCCATCTCCCTGCCCTATCCAGCTGTGCCCCAGATGTGGTGGCTTTAGCAGAAGGGCCAGACCCGCCTGCCAGGAGGGGACGGAGGCGGCGGGGGCAGCGGGAAACCCAGGGGG